GTGGTGGCACATGCATTTAACCCCAGCACTCGGGAGGCAGAGACAGGTGGCTCTTTCTGAGTTCGAGGCCAGCCTGGTTTAGAGAGTGAGTTCCAAGACAGCCAGAGATGTTACACAGAGAAACTCTCTCAGAAAACAAACAAAAAATTGTAGCTTAGATCAGCAAACAAAAGCGAAATATGACACAGAAATGACTGAAGCTGGACACTTTATCTAAGCCAGTGTTCTCAACCTTCCTAGAGCAGCAACCCTTTGTTGTGGTGACCCCACGCCATAAAATTATTTCATTGCTACTTCATAGCTGTAATTTTGCTGTTATGTATTGTAATGTAAATAAATGATATGCAGGATATCTGGTCGCAACCACTGATCTAAGCTATCTTAAAACTGTCAATGCTTCTGGTCTAGTGCAAACCAGCAGAGCAGCCTCAACTCCCCTTAACTTGTAATGATTAACATTACACCTGTAGATTGAATCTGAAACTGCAGCCTCTGAGGAAAGCCTGACCAACGCCTCCCAACGCATCAGCAAGCTTGAGAGGAATGTGGAAGAGCTTAAGCGCAAAGCTGCCCAGAATTCTGGGGAAGCGGAATATATTGAAAAAGTAGTATATAGTGTAAAGCAGAGTGCAGACGATGTTAAAAAGGTAAGTAAATATTTGTAACGTCATAGCTAAGTTGATAAATAAGAACTCGTTTTTCACTTTGCCTTCCTTGATGTTAATAGGATACAGATAACCCAATGACTTAAAGTAGCAGTCTTTAGAGATACATGAGAAATAATGAATTATGGGATCCATCTGTAAACTTAGACCCTCAGATCTCTAAACTTAGGAAAAATGGAATTAATGGGACCTGGAGTGGTACTCTAAAAGCATACACACTAGACTGGTATTTCTGTTCTGTAGCTCATAAAGGTCTTTACGACATAGCGAATAGCTGGCCACTTGAGAATAATTTAAAGAGAGAACAGGGAAAGCTTAAGAGTCCCCTCCAGAAAGGAGCAGTAGGAAATCAAACCTCACTTCTTGCCAGGCTTGTTTTGAATTCGCTACCTTTTGCTTCTCATTGGAAGACACTGTATTTAGCAGATTTCTGGTTTACACATATATTTCATTTCTAAATTTACCTCCAAAGACAGCTTTTTAAACTTGGGAGTAGAGTTAGGGTTGTTAAAACTGCTACATAACCTAATTCTGATTTCTTCCTGTTGGAGGGGAAAAAAAAACCTTGTTATTGAGCTTTTCGGTATTACAGAAAAGTAATTTAACTGCACCTGAGTTGGGAAGAGAGGCAAACCCTAAGAAAAATTACTTGCCAGTGTCAGACAACTCTTTCCTGTTGTTCTATTGACCTGTAGTTCTGAATACACAAATCTCCCGAATAATTTCTTGAACCATTGAAAGAAAAATACTGATTTTTTTAAAAATATATATATTATGGATACAGTGTTCTGCCTGCGTGTTTACCTACAGGCCAGAAGAGGGCACCAGATCTCATTATAGAGGTTGTTAGTAACACCAAGTAGTTGCTGGGAACTGAACTCAGGAAGGGCAACAGTGCTCTTAACCTCTGAGCAGTCCCTGTTGGATATTTTTTAAAGCTATAGGAATGAATTTACTGTTTGTGCCCATCATTCCAAAAACCCGTATTCTCTCCTTTTTTTGTTTCTTGTGACGGTCTCACTATGTTGACCAGGCTGGCCTCAAACTCCTGTCTACCACCTCCTTATTCACCTTCTCTTTATGTCTATGTGTTTCAGGCTTGACCTCTTCCTTCCTAAACCTTTCTGTTCCTTCTGGTTTCCTGATGCCCAGTGTACTTTTGTATGGCTTGTTGAGCTTATTTTTCATAGTAAGTGCTCATCCAAGTAAACAGGGCTAAGCCCCACAGTAGACGACTTACAATTGCAAATTTTCTTTGCAATGTTTTTAAAACTTACAACTTAATATGAAGCCTGAGTACTTTGCTGATCCTAATCCAGACTGTTTGCCTGTCAAAAGATGTCTTTGATCTAATGCTACTGGATTTAACTACTAACATTACATTTCACCTGTCTTAATATGCACTGCAGGCTCTAGATGGCGAACTCGATGAGAAGTACAAGAAGGTAGAGAGTTTAATTGCCCAAAAAACTGAGGAGTCAGCAGATGCCAGGAGGAAAGCTGAGCTGCTACAAAATGAAGCAAAAACACTCTTGGCTCAAGCCAACAGCAAGCTCCAGCTGCTGGAAGGTAAGTCTTTTCTTCTGGTTTATTGTTTTTTATAAAGGTGAAAAATCTATCCATTTTTGGCTTAGGTTTTTAGTGGTCTGGCATTAAGATCATATGCTATAAACGATTCATGTTTAACCTTATTTTTATCTCCACAGCCTTAGAAAGGAAATATGAAGACAATCAAAAATACTTAGAAGATAAAGCTCAGGAATTAGTACGACTGGAAGGAGAGGTCCGTTCACTCCTTAAGGACATAAGCGAAAAGGTTGCTGTTTATAGCACCTGCTTATAACACAGGAAAAGGGCTGGAAGGGCGCTGCAGTGACCAAAGCAAACTAACTACATATAAAAATTGATGCAGTGATCTTCAAAATAACTCATCTATTTAATGTTTTTATCCACCCACTTTTGTATGGAGTTAAATAAAATACATTGGTTTTGTATAAATATATTTACTATAATTCTTGTTTCTTTTATTGTTTTGGTCTTCATGAATCCTGCCAAGAAATGTGACTTTCTCTGTAAAGATGGACATGTATAGCACCTTCTTACCTTTAGAAAGACACTAATTTCTACTATATGTATAAACAAGTTAACAATATTCACCCATTTTTTAGGTCAACAAAACTTTATTCCTTTTAAATCCCCAGTGGAGAATCCTGAGTTGAATTTAAACAGGGAGGATATAGAGTAGCTTTCTTTGCTGCTCCAACCATTTCTAAACATCAGAAGGAAGAACTCTGAGTGGTAAAACACCGATGGGCAGGACTTCGGTGATTTAGACCAGTGTAGGGAAACTGTTCATGGTAATGGAGCAAAGCTACTCAAACACACAACTTACACTTAGTTTTTATATTATACTTTATATAACTTCACAATCAAATATTCCAAACAAGCACTTAGTCCAGAGCATAAAGAAAATCATTAGCATAAAACAGATAGGTGTGTGTTCACTACATAGTAGCTGAAAGAGAAGGCTAACAGCCCAGCCTTCTGTTCTTCACACATCCTTCTTAGACCCCCAGATCTGACATGGGTGCAAATAAAGCTGGACATTGATAAAAGTTATGTAAAAAATAGCTATAAAACCTAGTAAATACCAAAACAACCACACTTTACCATGTCTGGTTCATCTACTAAAAAAATGAATAGATAAAAAAAAACACTACTCCCCATGTCTTTTCCATACACACACACACACACACACACTAAATCAGCTCGATGAATAGGGCTGTTCCTATAAGGTTCTGGCATAATACCCCAAACACTGAGAGTTGAGCAGATTACAGCAAGGAGACTTTTAAAGCTTGTTTTACTCTTAGGCCTATGTTCACCCAGATTTTATTTATATTCTCATATATAAGAATCCTTCAGTTAGACAACTATTACTTTTGTGTATCTGTATAGCTAGGGGATCATATTAAATTATGTTTTACTATTTCCAAATTAGAAAATTCCATGAGAGGAGGGGGCATGTTTGGGATTTAAATAAACCATTTAAAAATACACAGACTTCACTCCCCCTATGACAAATTAGCATGTACAGCACAAACCCTCTGCTAGCTGTGAATTCTGAACAAAAAAGTATGAAGGCACCGCAAACACAGAGGAACAGCAAAGCAGAGTGCCCTGGTTTTTAAGTAAGCTTTCACTTGAAAATTAAAAGCCAACTTTCTATAGTTAAATAACCTGAATTTGAGAAAAATATAAATAAAAGAGAAAATGTTAGAAACTCCCCAACTCAGTAGAATTCTGGTACAAGACAAAACTTCGAACTATTTCAGCTGCAAACCGCTATCAAACAAGAGTTTAGAGTTGAGCCAATTTAACTTCCTGATTAAAGGAAAAATGTATTTATAGAGAGAGGTTTGTGAGTGAACCCAGCTTGACAATGTACAGTCATTACCCTAACAGTCCTAAAACTTAAAGCCTGAAAACTAGTGAAGCTTTCCCCTGAACTACAATTCCACCAGGTGGTGGTGCGTGCTCACACCTTTAATCCCAGCACTCATGAGGCAGAGGCAGGTGGATCTGTGAGTTTGAGGCCAGCCTGGTCTATAGAGTGAGTTCCAGGACAGCTAGGACTACACAGAGAAACCCTGGCGAGAAAAACCAAAACAGAAAAGAACAGCAATTCCACTGTGCAACAATATTAAAGCATCTGAATGGTCACAGTACTTGCATTTGTTTTACAGATGATCACTAAATGTTTAGCCTGTACGTTACACAATATTATTAGAATCAGTATTATTCCAAGTTTGTTTAAGTCAAATAAATATCTTGTTTGTATATTTATAAGTAATTTACAATTTTCTTTTTAGAAAACTGTACTATCAAATTTAGGAGCTACTCAAATTTAAGATGACTAATTTAGATGTAATTATATAAAGTGGTACTTAGCGTTTAGTTCATGGCTATTCTTGAAATAATTATTTTAACATTTTGCCATTTAATAGCATCAGCAAATACAATTTTGTAGCATTCTTTTTTGTTTTGTTTTGTTTTTGTTTTTTAAAGGTTTTGGGGCAGAAGTCGGCTTCTCTGTGTATTCCTAGCTATCCTGGAAATTGCCCTACAAACCAGGCTGGCCTCAAACAAAAAGATGTACTTGCCTCTCTCTCCTGAGTACTGGAACTAAAATCATGTGACCCCACTGACCAGCTCAGTTCACAATGTGAGAACATTCAATGCTATAAAAGTGGTAAAGAATAAAAAGTAAAAGACAATCAGAGGTAGTTCAAAGAATTAGAACCATCTTAATATGCACTCAGAATAACCAGTAAATAAATATTAAGACATGTTTATTTTGGTATCTTCATTTCCTGGTATAATCATGAGTCTCCATTTAATAGTTTTGTATACAGAATCTTCATTTGGGCAACTGAATGCCCTTTAAACTTACAGGTCTTACTACAACCTCAAAACACGTAATTCTATCTCTAAACTACCCGGAATTTGGGAGTTAAATAAAATGAGAGACAATCACTTTTATTTACATAAGTTGTTTGTACATATTTGAATCTTGTTCTAATCACTGACTCGTTTCCAATATGAAAACCAAATTTAACTTGGTCAGTTTTCTTGAAGCTGTTCACACGAATTATCCAGCTCCTTCCCTGTAACAGATTCACCTCCACTGAATTAGAGATAAAATCCATTAATGCCAATTCAGTAAAGTTGAATCTCACAGACAGCATGAAAACACAAGTCAGAAACTTTCCAAAGCTACTATATGTAGCTTTTTATCCAGATTAATACACTGGAACAAAATATTTAAAATACAGGTACAAGGTTATTCCATTCTGTTTAAACCTACTAAATACCTTCCAGAAGTTTCATAATTTCATTCTATAAATTCCTGAAACTGAGAGATAATCCTGCTCAAAAATGTAACCTTGACAAAAGCTTCCAGATTTTAGGAAAAACAATCTTCTAATTAAAAGTTGATTGGTTTGCCAAAAGATGCAGCCAGGTTTGCTTCTCTAAAAGCCTCGGATAAAGTCTGCAAAGGAAGCAATAAACAAACATGAAATGGTTGTGGGACAAAAGAAAACTTGGCAGTCATCAAGTCTGTGAAGTTGTGCAATAATTACCGGATGTGCGTGGCAGACTCTAGCTATATCTTCACAAGAAGCTCCGTATTCCAAAGCCAGGGCAGCTTCATTCACCATTTCTCCAGCACCCTTTAAAATTAAAAAGCAATTATGTTTCCAAGGCAAAAATAACAATATGCTATGATTAACAAATCAGGTTTTTAGGGTTCCAAACCTTAAATTTTCTAAACTTCTGCCTACTATTACAGCAGTTGGAGAAGTCAGACAAAATCTTAGGAGGAAATGTAACGGAGCAGCTTGGGCTTTGGAGCCAAATGGCCTAGGCTCTGCCACTTTGCTATTTTTATGTGTTTCATGCAATTTCTTTGCTTAAAAATTAGCAACTCTCCCATAATACTGTAGGTGAAATATTAACAATAAGTTTGTAAGTTATGAGAAGTGGATAGGAAACATTCAAACACTGTTAACTTTACTGTTCTGCATTTATCAGGGAGTATACACTTCATATTCACCAAAACCTAAGCCTTCCCTCAAAAAGTAACATTGGGTTGAGAACATGCAGAAGTCTGGAAGCAGAGAGCTCTGTACCACTGGTGTAATATGCATATACATAGGCCCCAAACTGCAAACCAAATTTGGCCTGCTATAAAAACGAAGAAGGCTCACGTTCCATGGTAAGAAATTAAAAAGTGGGGCTGTAGAGAGGACTTAGCAGTTAAGCACTGGCTGCTCCTGCAAAGGACTCAGATTCAATTCTCAGCACCCACATTATGGCTCATAACTCTAGTTCCACTGGACCTGATTCCCGTCCTAGCCTCAGCGGGCACTGTGCTAATGCAGTACACAGACATGCAGACAGGCAAACACCCATACACATAAAATAAAGTTTAAAAAAGAATGAGTAAAGAAGACGATCAGAAAGATGAGGTCAGAATGGAGGGTGCAACCAGTATCCGCACAGCCTCATCCTTACAATCTGGTTGTCAGGCGTCACTGGAGGGTTTTAGGCAATGAGACTGTGCAAATGCTGTTGTGATCCATTGCTAAAGGCAAACTTTCAATGGCAATAATAAGCAACAACAGAATGGAAACAGCAAGTGTACTAAATTTTACCTATTAAATGATCCCCAGAAATCTTACTGGGATTTCTCTGACTTTGCAGTACTTACTGGCCCCAGAATGTGTGCTCCCAGTACTCGATCTGTTGATTTCTGTCCCAGAATCTTCACCATGCCGTCCGTGTCAGCATTCGTCTTAGCTCTACTGTTGGCCGCAAAGGGGAACTTACCGACTTTGTACTCAATACCCTGTGGAGAACAAACAAGTTGGTTCCCATTAGTGAAATCTTCACCACTTTTGCTGAAAAATCAAAGGAGTAAATATCTCCTTATGATCCTAACAAAGGAACAAATACATAAGCTGTAATATTCTAAAGAGTTACTAAAGGCAAAGATGTAGGGCTCTTTTTGGTTGTTGCTGTTGTTTTCATTTTGTTTTTTTGAGACAGGGTTTCTCTATGTAGCTCTGGCTGTCCTGAAACTCATTCTGTAGACTAGGCTGGCTTTGAACACAGAGATCTGCCTGCCTTTGCCTCCCGAGTGCTAGGATCAAAGGCATGCGCCACCACGCCTGGCAAGATGTGTTTTTCTAGTCACTGGGGCCATTAGTTCAAATCCCATGCTTAGGATTACCTCTTCTTTCAACTGCTCTTCTGATTTGCCAACCCAAGCGACCTCGGGGTGTGTGTAAATCACCGACGGCACACAATTATAGTCAATGTGCACAGCACCACCAGCCATTCCTTCAACACAGATGATGCCTTCATCTTCTGCTTTGTGAGCCAACATTGGACCAGCAACCACATCCCCAATAGCATAGATACTACCAGAAAAAAAGAAACACAGTAAACTTCTAAAATCTAAACAGGTTACTAAGTCACCAAAAAGACAATCATGTGCAGCCCTTCAAAAGCCAGAGTTAAGTATCCAATCTTTGAGCCACTAAAATTAAATTAGTTTTATTTAAACAGTCTTATTTTCAAAATAGTTTTTGAAATAAATTTAAAGTTATTAAAAATGCTCAACACTTGAGAGCCTAAGAAAGATAGGATCACTTGAATCTAGTTTAAGACTAGCCTGGACTTTAGAGCAAAATTTCATCTCTACATAAGACAGTTAAAACGTAAATAAAAATATTTTCAATAAAATATTAGTAAGTGATGCTAGAGAGATGGCTCAGCAGTTAGGAGCACTAGCTGGTCTTCCAGAGAACCCAGGTTCAATTGCACCATCCACATGGCAGCTCACAGTTGGCTGTTAACTTCAGTTCTAGGGTATCTGGACACTCTCATGAACGCAAAACACCAATGCACATTTAAAAAAAAAATTAGCAATTGGGGCTGGAGAGATAACTCAGTGGGTAACAGCACTGGCTGTTCCTGAAGAATACCTGGGTTCAATTCCCAGCACCCACACAGTGGCTCACAGCTGCCTGTAACTCCTATTCCACGGGATCTAATATCCTCTTCTGATCTCCACTGGGACCAGGCACTTTATGCAGCAAACAGATATACATGTAGGTAAAACATTCAAACCATAAAAATAAATAAAGATATAAATTATTGGTAATTAAAGGATTTAAGAAGTCTTCATTACTATCATTTTTAGCTTGGTAAAATTATTAGGGTAGAAATGCTATGTATTCCAACCAGGTGGTGGTGACGCATGCCTTTAATCCCAGCACTCTGGAAGCAGAGGCAGGTGAACTCTGTGAGTTTGAGGACAGCTTGGCCTACAGAGTGAGTTCCAGGATAGCCAGGGCTGTTACACAGAGAAACCTTGTCTCAAAAAACAAACAAACAAAAGAAATGCTACATATTCCTTTACAACACACACACCTCTTCATGTGTCATTTTTTATCTTTATAGAGAGACAAAAATATTATCATGCACATTAACATTTAATGAAGAAAACAGATAATTATCAACTTACTTTGGAATTTTAGTTTGGAATCTGGTATTGACTGGAATTCTACCTCTGGGATCTAGTTCAATTCCAAGCTCCTCTAGTCCCAAATTCTGAGTAAAGGGCCGTCGACCAATACAAACCAGGAGTACATCACAAGTGATAACTTCAGCTTTACCACCAGAAGCAGCTTCAACACTAAATAATCAACAGCGGTAACTGTTAAATACAAACCTGCATCGACAGCTGAAAGGAGCCATGATATTTCTACTATCTTTATTTAATCATAAATATGAATCATGAAATCAAACATACAAATTCTTAAAAGTTTATTCTTAAAATCTTATAAAACCACGTAGTGTTAACACAGTATTAAGAACATAGGTCTCGCCAGGTGGTGGTGGCACACGCCTTCAATCCCAACACTCTGAGGCAGAGGCAAGCAGAACTCTGTGAGTTCGAGGCCAGCCTGGTTTAAAAGAGCTAATTCCAGGACAGGTTCCAAAGCTACAGAGAAACCCCACCTTGAAAAAGAACAAAAGAAAGAAAATAGCTGAGGCTGTAACTTAGTGGTGGAGTACTTGTGAGAACGCTTGGGATTTGGCCCCCAGTACTGTAAAAACGTAAAAGACAGGCTGGGCAGTGGTGATTCACACCTTAAGTCCCAGCACTTGGGAGGCAGAGCCAAGAGGAACTCTGAGTTCTAGGCCAGCCTGGTCTATAGAGCAAGTTCCAGGACAGCCAGGGAGGAGTCTGGAAAACAAGACAAAACCCTGTCTTGAAAAGCCCTCCACCACACACACACACACTTTAGAAACACCCATGCTCAAGTATTGATTGGCTCCATCTATCAACAACTGCATGACTGTGAAGAAGTTATTTTGTTAAACTAGGTAAGTATTTAATGAGTGCCAGATATATGCTATCAATATAAGTAATACTATCATCAAATTCCCCGTGTTATCTGTCTGAAGGGCTGCATAAATTTTACTAAACACAAGGATCTTTAAATTTTATGAACATATACAATGAAAAATATATCACAATGAGACTAGCTGATTAGGGTTTTTTTTTAGCATCAACTTATTCATAAATTTTAAATGGCGAATTTGATAGGCAATACTGTGTAGTACAATGCAGTAAGATGGGTCTAAGTTATAAAAAGTCTAGACTACATTTGTTAATCTGAAAATGTAAGTGCTTTTTTGAGACAAGTCAGGATGGTTTGTCAAAAACAAACGTAGCATACTTACGACACGTCAATTTTTCCATCTGACTTCTTGGTGGCACCAGTAACTTTTGTATTCAGTTTAAACTTAAATCCTTGCTTTTGAAGAATCCGTTGGAAATTTTTAGATATCTCCATGTCAATTCCAATTCCACCCACGTGACCCAAGAACTCAACTGCTGTCACATCTGCACCCAGTCTTTGCCAAACTGAACCCTGAAATTAATTTTTAAGAAAAGTCATAGAAAAGTTTCCAAAGCAACATTCGCTAATTATTGCAAATAATTTATTGTATTGTCTTCTTTACAAATGTTTATGGGAAGCTCTAGAGGTTAAGCAGATAATTTTATCTATTTATCCACCTATTCCACATTTACTGGGCACCTACTTATTATAGCCCAGGTACCACTATAGCGGCTAAACATCGTTACTAAATGACAAAACTTGGTATTGGATTTTATAATATGGTAGAGGAAGGGAACAAACAAGTAAACTTCAGGCTAGAGGAATAAAGTGCCATGAGAAAGAGAGAAGACGGAGTCGGGGCCTTTGGCCAGCATGATGACAGAGGCTTCAGTCTGAGTGACATTTACACGAAGGAGTAAAGGAAGTAAACTATAGCAGTGACTGAGAGAAGAGAGAGTGTTCAGGGCAGAGGAGAAGAGTAAATACAAGAGTCCTGAGATTAAATAAGTAGGGTATTGATCTCACTGGCTTCGGACAAAGTTGTAAATCCAGGATTGGGCCCAGTTCTGAACCTGGGTTAATAAATCTCTCAGCCTTCATCACAGCAGCTTCTTTGTGCAGTAGATGGTGATTAATACAGAAACATACAAGTGGTCACTGTGCAGAAAAATAAGAGGCTGTGAAGTGCCCAGCTCTAAATCTATAACACGTCCCCTCCCCCAGGGCTCAGGAATCACTGCAGAAACTGAGATAGAAAGGTTTTAAGAGCCATAAGTAGTAAACAAACATCTAGCAAAACACTATTTTCTGGTCATGACAAGGCTGTTGTACACAGGAACTCATAACAATTATAACTGCATGCATAAGACCCATACAAAATTAAAACAGTCACTATCTCAGCATGGACAGGAAAGGAGCTAAAAAAAAATTTCCACCCATAGGCAGGAAGCTATTGGCAACTGACAGTGCTGGGGGAGGGATAGTAAACGTTCTTCAAGGATGCTCGGGTAGATGGCCCTACACCATGTACATACAGATAGCCCTGAATGGAGTCAGTCAATTTAAAAGAGGACATATGAAGTTGAGAGGGCAAAGTAATGGACCGGATACGAGAAAATTTGGAGTGGAGTAAACAGAGGGTGGACATTATAAAAATACATGCATGTAAGAAATTCTCAAACAACTGAAAAAATGTTTTTACTACTAATAATCACTAAGGTCTGCAAAATATTAAGCTGGCTATGAAAATAATTTCTCAACAAAGGAGAAATACTTACATTTGTACTAAAACATTGACTTAAATTAAATATTGCATTTTAACTAGTATGGCTTTGACTTCTCAATGATTCACTATCAAACAACATAAAATTTAAAGTTAGGACTAGGAGTAGAGTTCAGTAGCAGAATGCTTGCCTATAATGTGCAAGGTTCAAGTTCTAATCCTAGCACTGGAAAAAAAGCAAAAAGGTAGCCTTTTAAAAATATATTATTTAACATTTCATATTAAAATCATCCAGTAAGTTTAAATGGCAAGAGTATCTTTCTAATAAAGTTAGATTTACAGTCACTTACAAATTCCAAGCATTTTTTATGATGAGAATGAACAGAAGAGAAGGTACCATTGGGCTAGAAAAAAATCCACAAATAAATATATACAAAATGAATCATGGATATAATACCCAAGACCAAAACTTCCAGAACAAAGCACAAGCGGTGCCTTTTGTGACCCCAAGTCAGAAAAAGATACAAAAGCAGAGCACAGTCTTCTTCCCAGCAACTAAGAGGTAGAGGCTGGGAAATCATGGCTTTCAGACCAACCTGACTACACAGTTAAGATTATATCTCAAAACCAAACAGGCAACTACTAAGCTAGCTTTTGAAACGTAGTCACCGTATGTCTACCGAGAAATAATAAAAGCTAAATATGAATACTTACTACATACCAGTAATGTGCTGGATATTAAGGACACATGGTGAACAAAACAGCTATGACCTCTGTCCTTGTGTTTATGATTTAATGAAATCAAAGGGATCAGGTAACATCAAGGAAGTAAGATAAATTATAAGAAACAGAACAGGGGCTGGAGAGATGGCTCAGAGGTTAAGAGCACTGACTGCTCTTCCAGAGGTCCTGAGTTCAATTCCCAGCAACCACATAGTGGCTCACAGCCACCTGTAATGAGATCTAGTGCCCTCTTCTGGCCAGCAAGCATACACACAGACAGAACACTGTGTACATAATAAATAAATCTTAAAAAAAAAAAAAGAAAGAAAGAAAGAAAGAAAGAAAGAAAGAAAGAAAGAAAGAAGGAAAGAAAGAAAGGAAGAAAGAAAGAAACAGAACAAATGGCAGAAGCACCAAAGAACCTCCGCTCTCATGAAGTGAGGCTTAAAATACTGCAAGAACTGAGAATTGAGAAATATCCCACTAGGTACACTTGAAGAGCTGAGGTGGGTCTCTATAAACTCAAGGCCAGTCTCATCTACATAGCAAGTTCCAGGCCAGCCAGGGATACACAATGAGACACGTCTTAAAAACCAAACCAAACTAAACTAAACAAACAAAAAGAGAACTATTCCAAACAGAATGTTTACCAGTAGGTGTAATGTTTGCTCAGAACTAATATTCAGATATAACCAAACCATAGAGCCGGAGAAATAAACCAGTAGTACAAAGGGCTTCTCCTCAAAAAACACTAACATTAGATTTTCCTAACAGTCATTCAAAGACTTCAGCTAGGTAAGGGAAGGGATATGATTAAACATATGTTTAGAGCCACTGTGAAAACCAGTGGCTATAATTAGAAGTTAAAGTCAGGAAGGCATAGAATAAGACTTGATGTTGGCCTGAACTATGATCAAAGTGACTTTCACTGGAACCCAGGGAATGACTATGGTACAAGAGATCAAAATCAGAGGTAACTCCTAGAGTTCTTATGGATGCCTCTACAAGAATAAGTAACAGCAGACACACTGAAGAAAAAAATGTTACATGAGAAATGAGTGTGGCTTTGTTTGGTAGGAAAACGAAGAGAGAAAAGTACTATTGTAACTGAACAGAATGCCTACAAAATACATTAAGTGGAGATAATGTGTTTTTAAAAATAAAAATCCAGCTGGGTGGTGGTGGCACATGTCTTTGATCCCAGCAAATAGAGGTAGGATTTTTTTTTTTTTAAGATTTTTAAAATTTTATATGAATGGGTGCTTGCCTATATTACATCTGGGCATCAGGTTTTAGGGTTTTGAGTTTTCTTTCTTTCGTTTTTTTTTTTTTTTTTTTTTTTTTTTTAAGACAGAGTTTCTCTGTGGCTTTGGAGCCTGTCCTGGAACTAGCTCTTATAGACCAGGCTGACCTCAAACTCACAGAGATCCACCTGCCTCTGCCTCCCGAGTGCTGGGATTAAAGGCATGAGCCACCTAGACTGACTGGGTTTTCTTTTTTAGGATTTTTAAAATTTTGTATAAATAGGTATTTCTCTACATGTATGTCTGGGCACCATGCATATACCGGTATCCTCAAGCCAGAAGAGGGCACAGATCCCCTAGAACAGGAGTTACATATAGCTAAAAGTCACCATATGAACTGAACCCAGGTCCTCTGCAAGAGCAGCAAGTACTCTTAACCACTGAGCCATTTTTTTTTTTTTGTCTACTACTTTTAACATGCCCAATCTTGTCCTTTTTTTTTTTTTGAGAGAGATCTGATTTTTAATTATGTGTGCATGTGTATGTGGGTATGTGTACACAAGTATAGATGGTGAACTCCTGGAGGTGGAGTTGAGGTGCTTGTGACCTGCTTGATAAGGGTGCTGGGAACTGAACTCTTCCAGGTCCCCTGGAAGAACAGTATGTGTTGTTAACCACTGGGCTAACTCTCCAGCCTCCCAAGAGGTTTTAAGCCCCTTTCAGCTCCACAGAGGTAATATAAGAAAGATACTACTTACCAATTCTACACCAATTACTCCTGCACCAATAACAACCAACTTCTCTGGAACTTTTTTTAAGGATAAAGCTCCTGTAGATGACACTATAGTATCTTCATCAATCTATAAGAAAAGCAAAATAACTTGGAAAAACCTAGTAAGTTATTAACTGATCTCATGTCATAAAAGATTATGTCATGGCTTCCACACATCACAATTTCATCAACTCTCTTTCAAAATGCTAATTTGAAATTTTATTTGATATTCCAAAATAAAAATGGTTAATTTTAACTTCATATTATGTGCTTTATTGTATATACATATATATGTGTGTGGAGGCAACAGGTCAACCTCAGCCATCATTCAGGAGCCCATGCCACCACGAGCAGCTGTTTAATAGGCATGAAACAAGCACTTTATCAGCTGGGTGATCTCACCAGCTCTTCTCTGAGACAGTCTCACCGTGTAGTCCTCACTCCTAGAGCAGTTTAGCACTGTCTTGTAGCAATCTCCCTGCCTCTTCCTCCTAAACGCTGGGATTACAGACACTCACCACCATGCCTGGTTTACCTTCATATTGAACTCAAATATATTATAAAATATTCTGTATCTGATCATAATCACTGCAAAATGAGAAGTAACTCTGCAAGGCTAAATGGCTGCCTAATTACAGTGTTTCAGTCAGTAATTACTCATTTATAAACAGAACAAATTTATAAAAAAACCTATCTTGTAAGAAAGGTTGTAAGAGATGAATTAGAAGACATACATACCGTGATTCCAGGAAAAGGAGTGACCTCTGAACCTGTAGCTATAAGGATGTTTTTTGTACCAATAACCTGAGTGCTGCCATCGGCTTTTGTAGCTGTGACCTGATTTTTGCCAGTTATCTTTCCAAATCCATTGACGTGAACAACCTTTATAAAATAATATTTATATGCTTAAAATGTTTTTCTGATAGAAATAACAGGAACAGTACTCTAGATAACACAGAACATAAAATACTTCCTTAATAATACTTAACACATATAGCAGCAAAAACACTGTCTTCTGGACGTCTGTTTTCAGGGTAGTGTTATTTTGGATTTTGTTCTTTGTACGATTTGGATGATGATAAATGCATTACATCATTTTTTTAAATGTTTTATCACTATTTTAAATTAAGTATCACATAGAAGGCCAAGATCATAAAGCATCACTCTAAAAGCATAAAGATTTCATTGGTGTAAGAGGTTCTTCTGTTCATGTGTTGCTTTCATTGATTAATGAATAAAGAAACTCATGAACAGAAGAACCTCCTACACCATTTCCCCTTTTCTGTTTAAACAAAAAGAAAGGTTTTAACTTTAACATAGTAAAATTACATAAAACAGGTATCAAATAAGAATTACAATTATAATACTTATATTTACTTTATCTTCTATCATAACTAAGGAAAACTATATCAATCTATTCTTCAGCTCCATCAAAGACTCCAGAGGGATATAATACTACCTACATAAACAGGAAATACATTGTAAACAACTTCTAAAACTCTAGGGTTGACAGAGACATCCTGCTGCCTGGACATTTAACCAAAGTTCTTCTGTACCATTGGGGCATCCATCTTCAGCCTACAAGCCCATAGTATCCAGCAGACTTTTCCATGAAGCTGGAAATTTCAAAGACAGTTCAGTCACTTTCTTCTGTGTCTGCAGAATGTCTCGCAGACTCTTTCATGAAGCAGGAACCCCGAAGGACCACCTCACCTTTAGGCAAGTGCAACAGTCATCTCCCTGTGGGTCCTGCATGTCCAGTGAATCAGTCTAGGCAAGAACAGTTTCTTGCCCACATGGTTATCAAACTCCTTAAGGAGCCTCTTCGATGCCCATCTTCCTCTTGAAGTAGCTAGTGCTGCCAGGAGCAGGCGTGTCTCATTGTCATGAAAAGCCCTAAGTTATTAAAACATTTTAAATGCCATATTCTGTAGTCTTTGAAAGATATGAAGAATGCCTATCCATCTGAAATACATCTCTGTACATCTAGAAAGTCTAACATGACTACAAGCTTGAATATTATAGATGATTATCTATTAACCTATATTTCTTAATTATACATTACATTTTTAAATGAACACAATTGCAATACCTTAATCAAGATCAGAAATACAGATACATGTAACAAAACTGACCTTAAATTTATATCAATAAACCAAGATCCATACCAATGCAAATTATTCATATCTATATCATATACCCCTTTAAATGTAAAAGAACATTTATAAACAATATTTGGGAATATGGGCATAGATTTATCCATACTGCTTCAGGCTGATTGGGGGCGCTGTTAATCAGGTCTTTCATGGTGTATCCTGTGTGCTAGGTTTATCTCAGTCAGCAGTTGGGCGAAGTAATTTATTTTTTTTAGGGTGTTCACAGCGACCTTTCAGGAGGCCTTGGTCCACGAAACTATATTGGTATAGAATCAATCCACAGGTTCTCATCTTCTGTGAAAACAAAAGAAGAACCTCCTTTCCAAAGCAACTTATCCTTAGACTCAAATTTGGAAGTCATGATACCTTTATAATATGCATGCTGGTTTAGCTTAGCAGCCCATACAATGAAATGTCTCTCTGTACTTAGCTCTTTCATAGTCAAAAAATTCAAAGAAAACACAGAATGCAGACTCCCTGTAAATTTCCCATTTTTGCATGGCTTATTTTTCTTTACTTCTTTGAATCTATGACTATCTGTACTATGTCTCTTTAAAGACTTTACCCTTTTTTTTAAAGCATTAGCTTTATTTTATGACTCTCTATACTCTTTTCCTTCTCTCTCCCAAGCCTATGTACATTTATTTAACACTGTGTCCCATATAGAGGTCCTTTATGTCTGAATCTGTCCTATTGTGAATCTGCAATTCTTTACTGTCTTGAAGAGCTTTTAAAATGTTAAGCAGCTTGGTTGCAGCTACTCTGGATGTTGGCTCCGTCTCTCTCCAATTTTAAAATGGTGGAAGCACCACCAGTGCTAGTTCTGGGGCCACCAGGCAGGAGCCACGCTCAGCAGTCCAACCCCGAGAATGAGTGTACATCACATAAACCCTTTTTATCTGAGTTACAGCCAAATCTGCCACGCAGAGCACTGCGCAGCCTGGAAACATCTCTCTGTATGGTGACGGGAATCGCCATGCTCTCTGGCCTGCACAAGCCTAGTAGGCCTGATCCCACCGCCAGCAGGGGCAGGAAGAGCCGAGCCATGGGCATGGTCCCAGCTACTTTCCTCCCAACCCCGAGTGGGCACACAAACACCCAGGCCTACAAATGCTCCATAGCCAGAGATTGCACAGGCAGCAGGGCCCAGGAAGCCTCGTTTTAAAATAGCGTGGCTTTTTTTTCTGCTGCTATTGCTAAGTCAGGAAAATCTCTCTGCTGCACGCTGCCAGCAAACAGTAAAAAGCTGTGTTAAACTCTGTTTTTTCTTTTTCTCGAAATTTTTTTAAGCTCTCTTAGGTTTTACATAGAGTTAGATGGCCACATTGGGCCACCAATTGTCACATGGCAAGGGATACTTGTTTGTCTCAGCTGCCCGGCTAGCTTAAACGTGAAATAACCACACAGAAACCGTATTCATTAAAACACTGCTTAGCCCATTAGCTCTGGTTTCTTATTGGCTAATTCTTACATCTTAATTTAACCCATTTCTCTTAATCTGTGTATCGCCACGTGACTGTGGCTTACCGGCAAGAATCTAACCAGTGTCCATCTCAGGCCAAAGATCCATGGCGTCTCTCACTCTGCCCTTCTTCCCAGTATTCAGTTCTGTCTTCTCTGCCTACCTAAGTTCTGCCCTATCAGGCCCAAAGCAGTTTCTTTCTTGATTAACCAATGAAAGCAACACATGAACAGAAGAATCTCCGATACCACTTTATGTCTGTCACTCTGAGCACTGAACACCGACTGACCTTATTTTGTTTGAATAGGTGGGCAATTCCCCCTGTTAAGGCTTTCACTGCAGAACTCTTCTGCTCCATCATCTTCTCTAAATTCAAGCGAACTTCTGACACTGAAATTTATTAAAAAAATCTTGTCGTTGTTTAAACTCTGAAAGCAATGTTTTCAACTAATCAAGATCTGAAAATATTCATCTCAATGTTGATACTATATCAAAGACAGTATTCACTTTTAAATTTTAATAACTGTCATAACAACAGCCAGAAAAGCCAAATCATCATATCACATCACAATAACAGACCCTAACAAGCACTGTTAAATGTACATCTATGTCAAAAATGCAGACCAAAATAAAAATGTTCTATTCCATTACAACATTCTACAGTAATTTATGATGGTTATTAGTCTAAAAGATAGTTAAATAAAAATGGCAAAATCACCTGAAATTATAAAGACAAATGTTAAAATTTCACGAAACAAAACAATTAAGTATATATTTGAACACTTCAAAATACAAAAGCTTTATATGAGTTTAGTTGAATCAACTAAATTTTAAAATTTATTTAACTCAGAATCCTGAAGCAACAATATAAGATAAAAATGTTCAACTCAACAGAACTCAGAGGAAAATACACAGCAGTCAGTCCATGCAGCCAACACAAATACAGACTCTTAGACATGGCAAAGCTCGCCTACAATGCAAGTCTTCTGACTAACATCATGGTACTGTCACAAAGTGTGACGTACTTGCTGCAGTATATATACTCCTCTATATGCTGACTCCCTACAAAATCTCTTTCAGAAACCTATTACTGCTAAAAAAAAAAAAAAAAAAAAGTCACGAAGTACATTAAGTCTATCTTCTGGAAGTTTCTGTCAAATACAACAAGAAAAAAAGGGGGACGGGGTAAAAACAGCCCTCCAAAACATGGTAAAGACAATACAGACTAAATGCAAATGTTATAAACAATCCTCTTTTCTCACTAAACGTCTCCCTTCTCTCTCTCCTCTAGCTCTTTCTGTTCTTTCAACCACCAATAGCTCTCCTTCCTTCAATCTTACCCGTCAATAGCAAAGTACTCAGAAATCAAGCCTTAGCTTTTCCCACATTCAAAAGTTGTGTGGGAAAAATGAAAACTGACTCTTTACTGGCACTGAAAGATAGAACTTAGGAAAAGCTTACAAAGGTACAGAAGCTGTCATGGTAGAATTCTGAACCTAAGTATTCTTATGTAAATCTCTCTAAATTTCGAGATATTTATCTCGCTCATCCTTGAATAAACATCTGTTCACACATACCAGTTCTTAGCAAGAAGAGTCAAGCATGACTGGTACTTCTAACTATAAAAAGTATACTTACTTTCAATTCCCCTAGATGCAAAATCTTTTCCATGGGCCATATGGTAATAATGAGAATTATTCAGTAAAGCCTAAAAGAAGTAAGGCAAATTTACCAAGTACTCATAAACAGACTCTATAACGAACTTACAAAATGACATTTTCTATTTAGAATAGTACATACTATGATACGAATTCATCTTTCCTTCTCACACGATTAGCATAAGATAAACAATAGAGACTAAAACACATACAAATAAGAATAAAAAACAAAACAAAGTTATTATCTTTAAATGTAAAACGAAAAGAACACATTTCAAGGTGGCAGGTCAAAAGGCAAAAAAAAAAAAAAAAAAAAAAAATTGTTAACTATCTTTTCACTGGCAATGGAAAGCTAAAGAAAGAACAAACCCAGAACACTGGAGTCTGGAAAAGGAGGACTCTCAGAATGTATGGTAGGCTGTGACAGCATTCAAAGGTTTACAAAGGAAAAGGCTTATAAACATACTCAGATTCCTTTTAAGACACTGTATTAGATTACCAATCTAGTCTCCATACATCTCTGCAGTCAGTAGTAGCTAATGAAAAATAATCTTTGCAACATTTAAAACACATGCTCACCTTTGAAGGAATACAGCCCACATTCAAACATGTTCCACCTAGTGTTTCATTCTTCTCAACGCAGACTGTCTACAGTCAAAGAGAACATTACTTAATTACATGTAAATACACATTTCATTTCACCAAAGTTCAAACTATACATGTCTAAATTGCTCTGCAAAGCAAGCTACTCAAGCTGTGCTTTGTCAGGCTAAAAGAACCCTTTGAAATCTATCATCTGAATCATAAAAACATATATGTGTTTTTACTGTTATCACTATATCCCAAATGTATTTAGAAACCAAAATGAAGTATTTCAGAAGAAAATTAGCTGACTTTTCTATACTACAAGATTACGACAACCAATAAAGCCCATTAGTCACAGATTTGCAAATAATCTATAGTTAAAAAAATAAGTTCCTGAGCTAGAGAGGTGACTCAGGACCTAAGTTTAATTCCCAGAACCCACATGGCCGTTCATGACTGTTTGTAAAGGCTTTCATGCCACTTTCAGGCCTCGGTAGGTCCTGCAGTGCACCAAAACATACATGCAGGAATATAAAATGCCCAAATGCATAGGTTTAAAAAATTTTTTTTTCTACCTATTTCCCATGTGCAAAACTTTTTGGGGCTAAAATAAGCTTGGCCCATAATAAAACAAAGCAACTTCTACATTGGGTATATCTTACCTTAAAGCCTAACTGGGCAGCTTTGATGGCAGCAACATATCCTCCAGGGCCAGAGCCAATCACTGTCACATCAGCATCAACTACAACAAGAGGAGATTGATACAAAATGGTAAATAACATTTGTCAAAAACTCTCCAAATAATCAGCATGTTCTATACAGCATTATTTTGCTCCAAGATATTTGATGTTCTTTGATGCAACAAAAAATGGTACAAATTTTGAAATCCCACTTTTATCATCTATCTATTCATTATAGCATACGCAAATACAACTAAGTCCTAGAATACAAACCTTACATCCAGCTGCCACTTACTGGTTATCGTATACCAAATGACATAACTCTTCTGTACCATGAGGAAGACAAGGACAACATAAACATAGCATTTTCAAGAAAAAGAGGTTCAGAAATGAACTAGTTTAGAAATGACTAGCCCAAATTATCTAGCAATTAAGCAGAGACAAATTAAGCGTTTTTTTTTTCTTTTTGCGGGTTTTTTGTTTGTTTTGTTTCGTTTTTTCCTGGTTTTTCAAGACTGGGTTTCTCTGTAGCTTTGGAGCCTGTCCTGGAACTAGCTCTTGTAGACCAGGCTGGCCTCTAACTCACAGAGATCCACCTGCCTCTGCCTCCCAAGTGCTGGGATTAAAGCCGTGCGCCACCACTGCCTGGCACAAACTAAGCTTTTTGAGTTTACATCTGGTTGTTTTTCTTTTCTTTTCTTTTTTTTTTTGTTTTTTATTTTTGTTTTTGTTTTTCGAGACAGGATTTCTCTGTGGTTTTGGAGCCTGTCCTGGAACTAGCTCTTATAGACCAGGCTGGTCTCGAACTCACAGAGATCCGCCTGCCTCTGCCTCCCGAGTGCTGGGATTAAAGGCGTGCGCCACCACTGCTTGGCTCTTTTTATTAATATAATCCCATTCTTTGGTTTCAACCTCCATAAGTTTAGTTTCAACCTCCATAAGTTAAACTCCCAAAGAGCAAAGCTTTAAACCATTAGCAACATGACTTTGGGTGAGTAATCTGACCTGCTTCACTTTAACCCTTGAAATAACCACAGGGAAAAAAATTATAATCATAAAACAGAATTTTGAGGACTAAAAATAGTTTGTAAACTGTCAATGGCCTTAACTTCTAAGCTATTTTGCAAGCTTCTCCCATAAATATGCTATACCCCAAACTGCTCATCGTCTGAAATCCTGAACTAAAATTATTCACTTTCTGATCATAATCTTATAAACTTTTAGTCCTCAAGAATAAAATAAGGACTAAAACAAATCTGGGTTCAAGGCTGAAGAGATGGCTCAGTGGTTAAGAGCACCAACTGCTCTTCCAGAGGACCTGAGATTGATTCCCAGCACCCACATGGAGGTACACAACCTTCTGTGAGAATAGCTATACCACCAAAATAGAAACAATCTCAATGTAATACCCATCAAAATTTTAATGTAACCTCTAACAAAAATAAAATAAATAAATAGTAGAATAAGAAAAGAAAAACAAAAAACAAAAACTCCTAAAACTCACATGGGAGCACAAAAGACCCCAAATAGTCAAAGCAATTCTGAGAAAAAAGAACAACACCAACACTATCATAATTCCTATACTATAGAGAGCCATAGCAAAAAAAAGGGGGGGGGGAGAAGGTACTGGTGTGTGCACACACGCACAAAACAGACATGTACACCAATGGAACAGAATATGAGATACAGAAATAAAACTATGCAACTACAGAGCTGGGAAAACTGGATATCCATACATAAGACTGAAACTACAGTCTTATTTCTTACAAAGCTCAAAGTGGACTAACGACCCTCACATACGACTCTGGCACTGCTAAAGGAAAATACTTCAGGACAGGCTGAACAAGGATTTTCTGAAAAGTGCACCCGCAGTCCAGAAAATAACATCAAGGACCAACAAATAGCTAGGCAGTGGTGGCATACACCTTCAATGCCAGCACTCGGGGGATGGTCTATAGAGCATGTTCCAGGAGAGCCAGGGATATACAAAGAAACCCTGTGAGAGGGAGGGAGGGAGGGAGGGAGG